ATGTTGAGCGCGCAAGATTGTGCGGGGAACGCCTGGGTTGGTTCGGGAATCCTAGGCTATAGCAGCAACTCTCGTCCTACTTGGTCCAATGAAGAAAACACCGCATTTGATCATCCAGAGCCCATCAAGATGGGTGGCGATAGAAACCCCGCTTCAGGTTTGGGAGTGCATCCAATTCAGAAGGAAGGAAGTGTCGGGGTTGGATTCCAATAGGGGTCCTCATTACGCGCGCTTAGTGCGATGTATCCCACAATCACAGGTGTGATGGTTCTTGAAAGAGCGGAGACATATCCATGATCCAAAGGCGCATTCAGCCTAGCACCGCCCACTGATACCGTCTGGGTCAGCCGATGGCCACCTATTCATGTCACCATTGTGAGATTGGCGTCTATTCTCGCTCTAAGTCACTCGACCAACTCAGCCGCCAGCAGGCTTGGGTAGCCAAAAAGCGAAGCATAAGCGCCGTCCGGCAGGATCTCGTTAAATTCAGCGTGGTGTGTGGAACGGATCCAGTGCATTAGCTTCCGGGCCGCATCCAAACGCAACCTAGCGGAATTTACAGAGCCTAATTGGCGAAAAAGGATCTTCGGACGGCTGAGCCAAGAGTTGCTATGTGATACCCCGCTCCTCCGATCGAGGGAATGTGATGCCGTCAATGTAGCGAGATAACGCAAGTGGGCGTAACGCCTGAACTTCCCGGCCAGCTCCTACAGGGATCGGGGCGGCTAACCTGAGTCACCATGCGTAAGGCCATCAATCAGAATGGCCTAATTTATCGACGGTGTTCCGAAGGTCAACCTCAGCTGCAGTAGCGGCTTCTAGTTCTTAGCGGTTAGCTTAGCGGGACACACCAAGCAGTATGCGGCACAGTGAGCTTGCAGGCGGGAAACAAGGCGCGATATTATCGCCAGGACAAGTTGTGATTCTAGGCCCACCCTATTTCGTATCATCTGGCGGCATGAGAGAGCATCGATAATATTGCGTCTTTGACGACATTTAAGGAAGATGGCTCGCCCTTCATCGACAATATCTCAGAGTTCAATTCTGGATGAGAATCTTTTCTTTTTACGGAACATTAGATCTACAGCGTCTCTCAACCAGTGCTTTCACAAATATTTTAAAGGCAATCCACGTAATGTTCGGTGCATTTCGCTGCAACAACAGCACGTCTAAGAATTTGGAGTTCATTGATTTATCGAGAAAGGTCGGTATGGATTCTCGCAACTCTGCTGTACTGGTAAGTGATCCATTCATTGTCGTCTGGGCGACATATATTGGCGATGCTGACATATTGTCATGAGGCGTGTGAACCGTGCCGGGCTCAAAAGGTCAGTCAGTCAGCGATCAAACCCTGGGTAGGACTAATACTTGTAAAGCTCAAATGCAATGGTGATCTGTATGGCTGCGAAAGGTGCCAAGAGTCATCTACCGATTGCACATACCGCACTCCTACGCCCGCATCCTCCACGCCGTTAAGCTTGAAACATCCCGCCTCAGACCTCCCGACACTTCCCTTGAAGCGGCGGCGGACCAATGGTGTCGGAGCACTGCGTATACATTGCCCGTCGCCAGTTGGACCAACCCCCAGAATACAGTCACCACTCGTACGGCCCGAGCCTGTCTTGATCAATTCCTACCAAGACTGGGGTCAATTTTGCAACATGAACACGACGGAACACCCAGGGCTGAACTTAACTTTAGACGATAATATGCCCTGTTACCCAACGGCTCCTTTGATCTCAGAGGCACATCTGAAGCCCTCCCATTTGGTGTCGCCAGCTACATCGTATTCAAGTGAAGGCGGCCCCAGCGTTTTTGTTCGAAACCCTCATACGCCTGTCACTTCACAGGACCCGTCTAAGAATCAGGGCCAGAATTGCAAGTGCATCCACTCGCTTGCCGACACGCTGGAGAGGGTTGGAGGTGACAACGACCAAAGGAGTAATATCGACCACAGTGAGCGTCTTGATTACTTGCTCACGTCTCTGCACACCGGTGTTGATACATGTACCCGGGTACTTGATTGCACCAACTGCGATATTTGTGCCACAAACTCAATGATTTTTATGGCTTTAATTCAGCAGCTTGCCATAAGGTCGAGAGATCTTTGCGACCTACTACTATCGCTCCAGGACAAGCCACAGAGGACCTTGCCAGACGACCCAGCAGATCTCCAACCCGAAGCTAGCGTCTTCATAGGAAGGTATCAAATTCAAATTGAGGCTGTATGTCGGGAGCTCGTCCACACTTTGGCGAACATCCACTTCAGAGATCTTCGTCGCTTACTAGCGCGACTTCCTGATATGATTGGAAAAAAGCCAAGGGCGAATAAGATGCTTACTGAGGCCACTGAGACAACTGAGAAGGCGTCTCACATTCTCGAAGGGATTCTGGTCAAGCGTGCGGCTGAAAAGGCAAAGAATCACGAGTTATACGGCTTGATTACGCAGAGAGGTCCTTAAGAGATTGCTTGTTACTTCTATGCAAGGTGAGCTAACGTCATTCCTCTGATTGCGCATAACCTTCTTCTAATGACCCGTTTTCATATATAGATCATCCCGTTTTCTCTTCAGTCACCAACTCGCTTAGCTTGACCACCACCACAAGTTCCAATTTCTTCCTGGCAAACACTATGGGACAAATTGCACATTCTCGGAGCTTGGGAGTTCATTGGGGAACAATGTTGGACTGAGCATTTTCATTGTTAATACAAGCGTTTTTCATAGCCGATTTTTCAACGATATCAAATTACTTACATTCTGCATTATGCATCGTACATGAAGCAACGCATCCAACAACCCGTCCCTACTCCTGAGTTGGCTTGTTTGGGGCACCCTTAACCGGAATTCTGATCGAGCCGTCCTCACGCTTGGCTGGGGCGCCCTTGACAGGAATCCGGATGACGCCGTCGGTTTCTTTCTCTGGGGCGCCCTTGACTGGAATTCTGCTTACACCGTCGTCCCGCTTAGCAGGAGCACCCTTCACAGGGATGCGGATGGAGCCGTCGTCACGTTCAGCCGGGGCGCCCTTGACGGGGATTCTGATAGAGCCATCCTCGGGTACCGGAAGGGGACTTGCTAGAGTGGTAGCGATGAGAAGGGCGCCTGCCTGGAGGAAGATGGCTGAGAGCTTCATGGTAGGATTTTGAGTAGGCAACGATGGTAGTACCAAAATAATAGTAAAAATTCCTGTGTTTGGGGTTACAGTGGGAACTAAGTACGGCGGAGGCTGAGCGATACCGCTTGCTTATGAATATCCCATAGATTGATCCCTTATCCCTGTCGCCTAATAGTCCCATGCCTCTAGAACTAGTAGTAATAGCCATACAACCGCACCAATCTCAGAATCTCCCCCGTAACTCCGAATGAGCAACAGAAGGTCCAACCACAGCGAACATTGCGAAGCACCTCCACTCCTCTCTTTAAAAAGGAAATTTCGCCCAGAAAGAATCAGCCTCTATAATGAGACAATTCACCCGAAGTGGCTTAGGGCACCATGTTCGCCGCTGCGAATAAACCAACCACGTGCCATGGATAGGATACGCACATGGACTAATGCGAAACGCGCATATACTCGAACAGGAACGCATGCAGCCACATGAGAGGAGACAAATGCATGTTTATGAATTAGGAAGGTCGATAAATGGCAAAGGGAGGCCAGATCGCGCCGAACTGGTTCGAACCCCTCATTTAATATGCTAGTCTGGTGGGGCTGTCGGGGCTGAGTGTGATAGCTTCAGTTAGGCTGATTGCTACTACGGATGAGGTTTCGGGGATGTATGGGAATGGGATGTCACATTGCTTTTGGATTAGGAAGAGTTGGTTACTGGTTTGGGGGGTAAATGGGTATTGTTTGGGTTGATTGGTGGATTAGGTAGGTCTGGATACAATTGCGGTTATCCGATGTTCGGAGGGTGATATCGGCCCATATTGAGGCTAGTAGAGGCATAGCTTAGCTTCATATTACTATGAAAAGGTTTCTTTAATTGGCGTTGTATGTGCTGTGCCGCAGTTACTTATCTTGTGAGCCTTTGGAAGCACTCTGCATTTCTACATCCCCTTTGTCACAACAAAAATCCGGGCGATCAATTAGAGCCATTATGGGCTTCGAGTACGAACGGTAATCAACTTCTCTCACTACAATCCACACTACGCAGAGACTAACACACAAGAACAAATGAAGGGTAACCAACGCCCGCTCCGATCCTGAGCTGGCAACTCCCAAAGATGCAGGCGATGAAGAAGACGAGGCTCTCCTACAACCCAACACAACCAACACCAACAACTTGTCTCCCAAAAACCACCGCCCCTCCCATTTCAACCACATAAAAACCCTCCTCCTCTCAACCCCAAAGTCTGTCCTCCTCCGAAACACCCTCATCTTTTTTCTTGCCATCTGGGGCCTCATCAGCCTCACACAAACCCTCATCCTCTCCATCCTTCCCACAAATACGCACCCTCTCATCCCAAAAACCTGCCACTGCGGCAACTCCACCACTGAAGCCCTCACCCTAGGGTGCAAATTCGACTCCCTAGCCGCAGCCTGGCTACCACCACACTGCCGCGACGACGAGCTCACCGCGGAGTTCGAGCGCGCTGGGCCCAATCCCGACGGGAGCTGGACGTACTACGCAGACGATTACCACACCGTCCCCATGGCTATTGAGGAGGTTGCGGCGCTGGCGGATAATCAGTCTGCCAGAGTGCAAATGACGAGGGACTGGCATGTCGTGCATTGTTTGTTTTATTGGAGGAAGATGTTCCGCGTTAGGGACTTGGAGGGGGTGATTGTGGAGCCTAGCTTTGATCATGAGGAGCATATTAAGCATTGTATTGGGGTTGTGTTGGAGGATAGTTGGGGGACTGAGGCGAGGGTAGCGTTGGATACGTAGTAGGTTTTGGTGGGGGAGATGAGGTGGTAGTAGGTTTTGGTGGGGGAGATGAGGTGATTGTATTGTAATGCTACCTATGGGGTTCATACTATATACTATTTGCTGGTTATCACTCTGACACTGGATATGCTACTGGTCCGCCTGGAGAAGTTGGTAGTCTGGCTGTCAGAACCTCGACTCCGTCCGCTGTTACTAGGAGCGTATGCTCTGCGAAAGTGTCAGTACACATAATTTTGTATCCTCGTAGGAATAGTATACTTACCAAACTGCGCCGTTCTCTTCCCATCCATCGTCACCGCCGTCCAATTATCCGGCCAGATCATATCCCTATACGTCCCCAGCGCCACCATCGGCTCAATGGTAAAGCACATCCCCTCCTTCGCTGCTCCGACGGCCTTGTTTCCAGCGTAATGCGGCACGCTTGGCAAACAATGAAACACTGTGTTGATACCGTGTCCACAGAACGATCGAATCACACTGCAGTCTCTCTTCCGCGCATGCGCTTCAATCACATCCCCATAAGCCCGGAACAATGCCCCAGGCTTGACCAGCTCAATCGCCATGCCCAGACACTCCCGCGCTGTTTCGACAACCCGGACGGAATCGGGATCCGCCTTCGCTTTGTCCCCGACGTAGTACGTCTCGTTGAGATCGCCGTGGTACCCGCCGTGGTAAAGCGTGACGTCGATGTTGAGGATGTCACCGTCTACCAGAACGCGCTGGTCGGGTATACCGTGGCAGATGACTTCGTTGAGCGAGGTGCAGACGGATTTGGGGAAGAAGTTGTAGTTTAGTGGGGAGGGGTAGGACTGCATTTCTTTTGCATTAGCACCTTGGTGAGATTCTTATAGGGTTTTTAGAAACGGGGGCGTGGTGGGCTTACATCACGCTCTATACACGCCTTGTGCACAATCTCATCAATATAATCCGTTGTCACCCCAGGCTTGATGGCAGCTGCTGCAATGTCTAGGACTTCGCGGGCGAGTCGGCAGACCTTTCGCATGGCATTCTGACCTGCCTTATCTAGGACGGTGAATTTGGCTCTCCGATCGTAGAAAGATTGTGCACTTTGTGGAATGCCACCTTGCCAGTAGTCTGGATGTTGGATGGTGGTGGGGACTGTGCGACGCTCGGATAGTGGGTAGACGGGTCGGAGCGAGCCGGTGAAGTTGAATGATGGAAAGGGATTGTACAGAATAGTTTCTTATATTTCTCAGTCCCAGATTGATGGTTTGGATAACGCTGATGAACTTACGCTTTGCTCGGTGGATGGCTTTGTGTGTTTTCTTGGCTGTTATCAGCTTTATTTATTCGATGGGCATACGACGTAGTACTCACCCAGCTACGCTGAAAGCAATCTTGTGAGCAGAAGAAGCTTCCTTTAATCTCTAGTTTGAGACAGGTGGGACATTGCAGCGTGCTACATTCATTGTCACACCCGTCACCAAGACATCTGCGTTTTGCGACAAATTTGGAGGTCATGGTGTTTAGGTGGACGCTGCTGCGGTTGTGTGTAGCACGAAGTCGCACTTGAGTATTTTTATTGTCTGGGCAAGTGAACGATGTTGGAGTTTGTCCAATAAATTATAGTACTCGTAGTTTTGAGGGCTTCCCCGCACGTTGTTCCTAGATATACTCCCTGCCATGTTGGGTTGCCTAATGGAGACGGGCAGACTGCCCAGCAGAAGCCGACTTCGGGACACCGAAAAGTTCTCAAAGCTACTAGTACCAGGCGCTTAAAGTAGTATTACCACTACCATTCCTAGTGGGCAGAGAAAGTACATCGTTGAGGTCGACTAATATAGTGTGCTGTGCCATCTCCGACGGATGTCCGGCGCGACTAAACTCCGCTTTTGTTGGTGATTCCATTGGCTGGAAGATAGAGTACAACATCCGGCTGTATGGACCAAGTTGTACACTATATTTTACTCCAATTTCATTATGCATTTGAATTCCAGCATAACTCCGTTCTGAGAAATGGTACTCACGTGGAATATCGCTGCTAGGCCTAGGGTTCCGATCCCCCGGATTGACTGTTAATCCGAAGTGTGGTCCCGTGGTTGTATTTGCGGCGAGTGGGGCGGCGCTAATCCTAAAGTAGATCGGGGATGACTAGACGCAAGACAAAGAAATCGAATGTCAGCATTGTCTTTCTTCCATCTCTTTCACCATCAGACCACTATTAACGTGTCACAATTGATGTCAGTATCGCGCCTTGAGATTGCAACATGGGATCGAAAAGCCCCGAAGGCCACCAGCAGACTCCTGATGGTATGACACCTGCGAAGCTTTAAGAAGCTCCCTTCTGACCTGTCTGCGTCATTTAGGCTCCAACTCCTCCGAGTTCAAGCCTGCCAATCCCAACCCCAAGCCTTCCCGCAATGGCTCCCAGTCGGCCGATTTGGATGGCGGAAATCTCGGCGATGACGATGACGATGACGGTGAAGCGAACGAAGAAGTGGAAGTGAAGACCTCCGCTGCTAGTGCTGGTACGTTCAGACCCCACTCCAATCATGTTAACATCTGCATTTCTGACAATATACTACTTATAGACAAGAAAAAGAAACGCAAGAGGTCTAAGAAGAAGACCAAAAAAGCAATCGTGCCACTCAAGCAGTCGAATCCTCCCCGTGTGCTGGTTTCGACTCTCTTCCCATCGGGATATCCCATTGGGGAGTGCGTCCCTTACAAGGACGATAATACCTCTCGCACTACGGACGAGGAATTGCGTTACAACTCACGTCTCTGGGATAAGGGATTTCTCGACGAGTACCGTCAAGCCGCCGAGATCCATCGTCAGGTTCGCCAATACGCTCAGAATGAGCTCATCAAACCCGGCGCGAGTCTCACTACAATTGCTGAGGGCATTGAGGACGGGGTCCGCGCATTGTCTGGCCACCAAGGACTTGAACCCGGCGACGGTTTTAAGGCGGGAATGGGATTTCCTACTGGATTGTGCTTGAATAATGTTGCAGCCCATTGGACGCCCAATCCTGGTGCCAAGGATGTATTCTTGGATAAGGGTGATGTGCTGAAAGTTGATTTTGGCGTTCATGTCAACGGCCGTATTGTCGACTCGGCTTTCACTGTTGCTTTCGACCACACGTACGACAACCTCCTGACGGCTGTGAAGGAGGCAACCAATACTGGAATCATGGTACGTTTTCCTTCCAGGTACGCAATCCTAGATACATAGCTAACTACAACAGCATGCTGGCATTGACGCTCGAGTGAGTGAAATCGGCGCGGCGATCCAGGAAGTCATGGAAAGCTACGAGGTCGAAATCGCCGGAAAGACCCACCCTGTGAAAGCCATCCGGAATATCACCGGGCATGACATCCTTCAGTATAATATCCATGGTGGCAAACAGGTCCCGTTCATCAAGAACAACAGGCCGGACAAGATGGAGGAGGGTGAAGTCTTCGCCATCGAAACATTTGGAAGTACCGGCAGAGGCGTTCTCCACGATGATGTATGTCTCTGTTTGTTCAATACGTTTAGCCATGCTAATGCTCTTCAGGTGGGCGTCTATGGCTACGGAAGAAACGCCGATGTCTCCGGTGCAAACCTGCGTCTTTCCTCTGCCAAGAATCTTCTGAAAACGATCGACGCCAATTTCGGAAGCCTTGTCTTCTGCCGCCGGTACCTTGAGCGTCTCGGGGTGGAGAAATACCATCTTGGGGTGAGTAGATGAAGCGACTTACATCTCGAATATTTTCTGACTCATTATGCAGATGAGACATTTGATCGATAATGGGATTGTCGAATATTATGAGCCGCTTGTTGATGTGAAGGGTTCATACACGGCTCAGTTTGAACACGTAAGAACTTCCCGCCAAATATTATCAGCTAAAGCCTAACAATTTCCAGACTATCCTGCTCCACAGTGGTGGAAAGGAAGTGATTAGTCGTGGTGATGACTACTAAGCATTTAGTCTCAGTTGAAGCTATATCTTTGTCGAGACTAACGTAGGTCATGGCTCGGTCTACTTGTTTGTTGATTTTACACTTTGTACAGTCGCTATCTGCAACTGTGCAGCCTGCTCTCCGTCATGGGGCAGACATCTCTGCACTCTTCAGGATGTCATAAGAAGATCCGAGTGTATTTTTTCCTTGTGACATGTCTCTCTTTTCAGGCCCATATTGTTTTACCATCTAGCTACTGAATATAAGTTCAGTGCATCATATGATTCTGTTATCCAGGCCGTTCTCATCAATCGTAAACCTTCCGGATTGGTTTCTTACCTCCATTGCCCACGTAAAATACGCCACAACGCCATGCATGTCTACTATCCTGCCAAGGTGGTGCAAAATCACACTCGTTTGCTGATTCTCTCAGAACGGCTGGCATGCGACGAAAGCAGCAAAGCTCACTAGCAGCTTTCCTACTGCATCGAAGCACAATTTATTTGCTTAGGCGTAGAAGGAAAACCCTGAGACCAGGAAGCGTAAATGAAAGGCTCCATGATGCAAAAGAGTATTATCAGAGGACTACTGGCAAATTAGCGCCAGCCTTGCTACCCCGCGCCAGCTGTCCAACACCACATCGCACCTTCCTCTATCACTGATACCGTACGTGAGGTAGAGAACCCAAACATGTCATCCGAAAAGTCTAACCTTCAAGGAGAGCATGTCGCACGAGTTGTCTGGGCAGCGCATATTCTCGCCTATCTTACTAAAGGAAGAAGCCATGCGCAGGTCGAGAAGGTCGAAGATGACGTTGCCAGTGATACAGACAGTGAAATTGAGACTGAAGTGGCAGTTGACGACGAGATGGACACTGCGACAGCAAAAGCTGTACCTCTGTCTGCGTCAAGAGAGTTTGTTTTGCGGAAGTTTCTGGACTGCATTTGCCAGCTGCTATCGCCGTCCAAGGGGTGGGAAGGGGTTACTGCAGCTTCAATGCGCGAAAGCAGCGGCAGTATTTCTGTGGACGTTGCACGGAATGATGGATTCGGTTCGGATTGCGGTAGCTTTGATCCTGCAACACTCGAGTATTGCCGGATGCTGGAAGAGTATTTGACCTCTTGTGTCAGTACTGAAGGTATACTTCTGGAGAGGGATATAGTTTGACACAGTCATGACTAACTGGATGTCTGCTGACCAGAGCCAAATATCCCAGCGAAATCCATGACGGAATTTGAGGCCGCTTCGATCAAATACACCGCTAGTCGAGTTGACTACTGGATTTCCGCCTGTCGAAGAACATACGCAATTATTCATAATGACACGGATTGGAATCCGCGGGCATGGCCTGGACGTGAGTCGGCAGCTCAAACCTGGACATCGATGGCTGATCTTTTGCTGCGCTTTAATAGCAAGAGAATGACCGCAGATTGCAGGACTCTTTTGGTGCAAGGGGCTTACAGCTGCGTCAGTTCAGCAGAAGTGTATCACTTACTCTTGGATGCACTTGGTCCGAAAGTTGGCTCACGGCTTTGGGTGGGTTTGAAATCCGTTGCCAGGCCTTTGACGGACTGTCGGCGTTTGCGGGAAATTACTCTTTGGGAGTCAGATCTCCGACATGCTCAAATTTCTTTAGTGCCTTCCGCGCCAAAGACGACACTACAAAAGGAACACATGGTTGATACTGCCACAGCTTGGGAGCTACTAGGTCTTGGGATTGCAACCGAACCTGTCATCGAGTTGCTTGATCCCTATAGACAAATGTTCAAACAGGCCTGTGCCAAGTCTCTTTCATTGCATGCTGAAATGCAGCTCATATGTTATCATGAAGAGTGCCGTGGACCACGGAGAATGTTTCAATACTTTGGGTGTAGCAAGAAGTCATGTCTTCTTTGTGAAACGTTCCTGGCTGCGATGCACGATCCGATTGAGACCCGGGGTAGGCATGGCGTGTGTTATCCTGCCTGGGGAGTTCTGTGCTTAAACTCGGATGCTATATATCTCGTTACCACCGAGTTAGGAAACGACCTTGTGAACCGCATCAGAGGTTTATTCAACAGAATAATCCGCCCGGGGGCGACAGCAAACGTCATGCAATCGGACTTTGTGTCGGACTTCTCAAAACTTACGCTGGAAGAGTGGCGACAGAGACAGAAAATAGTAGACATAGCTAGGGCGGAACAAACCACAAAGTGGACAAAGCTGCAACTTATGTGAGGCGACCCTGTTGGCTTTCAAGCATACGCGACTGTATAACTGACTATAACATGCCGTAGTGAGGGCAAGGGTCAAGACTTACACACCAGGACTCGCCCACGCCCAAAGTTTGAGCCCGATAACTGTTGCGTGATGTGTAATAAAACGCCAGCCCGGCGATGCGGGCGCTGTCGCAGCACCCATTATTGTTCAAAGGATTGCCAGAAAAGCGATTTTTCTTCCCACAAGCTGCTTTGCAAGAAGCTTGCTACCCTACCTGACCGTCCCTCACCAGAGCACAAGCGAGCCATTTTCTTCCCAGTGCATGAGACAGAGCCTATTCTGATTTGGGTCCCTACACAGCGCCGATACGATGAAGAGTGCAGGGT